CCTTTTATCTCCAAAACTGGCAGAGATAGGTCCATAGTTACTATTGAACTTGAATAGGAAGTCATATATTGGCAATCTAAATGTGACCTTAAAATTGACCTTTGACCTACTTTTCACCATGAACTGAACTTTGCAAATTTTGCTTTTCTTTTGTCTCCAAAACTGGCAGAGATAGGTCCATAGTTACTCTTGAACTTGAATAGGAAGTCATATACTGGCAATTTACTGTGACCTTGAAATTGACCCTTGACCTATCTTACATCTTACGAAGAACTTAAATTTGATTGTACCATATATATTTTTTGCAAAAGTTTAAAAATTCTTGTTGATTGCATTTTTACAGCTTGTCAAGCACAAAACTGGTGGCTGTGTCCCTTATTTTGTGTATGTGGGGGTCTATACGAATGCGCTTGCTCCAGCTGGTGGTACAATATTCGGAGGCGGTATCGCCTCTCTGATCCTCTAGTCTAATAAATATTTATATTCACTACCTCTGTAGTGCTGTCCCTTTCTTGTTCAACAGCCTGCAGTTGTTCTGTGGTTTCCTTTAACTGCTGCTGCAGCCCAGAAATTTGCTCATCATTAGCAGTCTGCTCTAACTCAATTGTCTGTGGAAATACCGACAAAAAAATGATAACATTTTCATCTTTAAGTTACAAAACAGATAATATTGATGAATCAATGACATAAACAAGGTGAAGCTTTTTATCTGTATCACGGTAACTGAGAACAACAAATGTGAAATCTGTTACAAGCTACCAAGGAAATCACCCCGTGTTTCAAAGAGTGATTTATGAAGCACATGGTGTTTAAAAATTGGAAACTGAAAGCAATTTGTAAATCAAAGTTAAATTTTTGATTCATCCAGTTTCATTACACTAAGATAATAAAGAGTAATTCTCATACTGGATTTTACTTAGAAAATAGATCAAGACATTCTGACCTTTTAACAAGGCCTTCAGGTGAACGAATTTTGAGTTGTCACCAGTGTCAAGTGGAAATGTTTCATGTTATTACCTATCATACCATTTTCACTTCACAACTACTCTCTATTAAATACTCCACATTCATAATCTTGCAATCCAAATCTACCTGTTTTTTCAATTTGGCACTCTCCTCTTTGTATGCTGCTAGTTGTTTCTTCCATTCTTCTACATTAGCAGTGCTTTCTTGCAGAGCAGTAGTCAGACGAGCATTGTTGTTTTTTAATGTCTGGAGTTCAATTTCCCATTTTTTAGCATTGGCAGAGCTGAAATGAAAGAAGTGCAATTAAACGTGGAGACTTATACCAATTTACACCAATAACCCACAAAACAAACCCAAAACTGTATAACACATTCATACATCTAAATTAAATTTTTTTTCTAAAAGCATGCAATATAAATATATTCACAAAAAATAAACAAAAACACACATGTTAAAAGAATTTACACAATGCTTTGGGGGATACAAAATGATACTGCTAAAAATGCTACCAAACAGTAGTTACCTCTGTGCTAGAGCAATCTTTAGCCTGTCATTTTCATACTTGAGCTGGTATTCAACTGTAGGAAGACCGGAGGTAGACAAACGCTGTTGTTTTTCAGACCCATCACTCTGAAAAGGTAACATCCCCCTTTTCAATATTTAATATTATGTAATTTAAATCTCATTTTTTTCCTTAGTTTTCAATGGATTTTTTTTGGATATAAATTGTTTTTCACTGCTGATAAAGTCTACAAAAATTCTACTTTTTCTCCAAACTGCTGAATAGTTTTAGCAAAAATGGATTTAGCCTAATATTGAACCTAATAAGCCTCACAATTTTTTTTTCTTTTTCCTTGGCTACATCAGGCTAAGTGCTCTTTGTCAAAGAATTACCTTTCTCTCACCTGATTACTAGACACACTGGAATTCCTGGAATGTAGTGGTGCAGCATGTACAGGGTGGGTGGCCAGGGGGGAGTGGGGTTCTCCTGAACCATTGCTCTCACCAGGTGTCTGCTTAGCTAGCTCACGCACCTCTTGAAACTTTTCTATAAACTGAAAAAACAAACAAAAAAATCATTCAATCTTATCTTTTTTAAATTTTTTTAATAGTAGTAAAAATGGGTGTAAATGTAAATTTAGTCTGAGATATGGATTTGAAAAATATCTTGAGACATAATAATGGAAATATAGATCAGTGTTGAGTCAATATTCAATTATCTTATTATTTACATGGATTTTTTTATTTTTTTATTTTTTTAAGAGCATGTTAATTCTCTGGTGCAAATGTACATGTATCCAAAATGGTGGCAAGTGCATAAAACAAGCAGCATTGGTTAAATCTTAGCCTTCCTTCACAGGGCATGTTTCTTGGCTGTCCCATAGAGGAAAATTACTTTTCTATAGTACTTTGTCTATAGTTTGTACTTATCAACCTTACGTTGTGTGCTGAACAGTTTATTGCAAGTTCAATAATTGTCACATCAAGGGTGTGACCATGTGGTTATCTAGCTGACGTCTTCCAGCCGTACCAGTAGTACAGATTTTTCATTCCCCCCCCCCATCACAAAGCTTTTTTCACCACACTCACCAACCCACCAATCTGGTCATGATAAGGAAGTCCCGATTTATTGTTAGAGAAAAGAACAGGTCCTACGTGGCAAACAACCCATACGAGGAAGCTAAGTGCAAAGTGTATATATAAAGAATGATATACAACACAGCAGGGGGTTTTGTTGAAGCTTTTAACACGCCACAATTAAGTCACTGTTATGATTAAACACGAGAAAAAAACAAAGGCGTTTAATCAACAATGTCATGATGGAAATTTTCTGACCTGGGTTTAAAAGGGTTTCTTTTAGGAAACAAGGAAATAAGGATATCAAGGTAGCAGGCTCTATATAGGTGCCCATTGGCCATTTGCTGAAGTGCCCACCCCTACCTTTTGAAGATCTGCCTCTGTAGCAAAGCCCAGTCCATACACTGTGTTAGCCCTTGGATCTGACCACTGTCCAAACTTCTGTGATGTCTTGGTGAAGGTCATGTTAGGTGTGATGGTGCTATTAATGATGGCCTGAAATAATAAGATAAAATTTTCCTTGCCAATTTGATGTCAAAAAAAGTTCTTAATATAATTTGTAAATCTCTCATACTAAAGACTTATGAAATGCTTTTACAGTTAATAAGTTTTCTAGTAAAAATCATTTTAAATAATAGAATTCTGTTAATTTTCATGTTTTCATGGCCTAAAATAAGATACTGTCAAGCACTTATTCTTTTAATAAGAATCAATTTATTAATATACTTATATTTAATTTTTAACAATGGTGGTAACTGGATAACAGAAGCTTGATTTGGTTTCCATGCTAGGCACTTTTGTTTAGCACGTTCCACAAGTTAATTTTCAAAATGAAAGAAAATCTATATAGCACACTGCTAAAACAAAGCCGGAATCACTAACCTTGGTTCCCTCCACACTGATGATCCTGTAGGAGTTCCTGTTGCTGTCATAGTAGTAGGCTACACTAACAGCCACTGTGCTGGCGGGCATCCAGTTCTTCTTGGTCTGGGGGTCTATCTGGAACACATGAGCCTTGGTGGTGTAGATGGGCTGCTCCCTGGAAAAATACATTCACAATAATTAAATAGTCCTAAGAAATCATCCAGAGCAATGGGTTATTTTATATATATATATAATAATTGTAAATGTGATTAGTTTAGACCACACAAAAAAAGTGAATAATAGAAATAAATGTATCGATTTTGGATATTGCATGGACTGTTCTGTAGTTTGTATGCATATCTTTGGGGAATATTTGAAATATATGTGAATCACAGCCAGGAACAGATAATTTGCAGAACAGGCCATTCTACAGTATTTTTCCTGTCTGTAACATTTTCCCCCTCCATAAATCATTTTCAATCTAATCTTCATCTCCATTTAAAAAAGAAAAAACAAGCAATATGCTCCAGTTTTCAACTCTCTTGGGCCAAACTGGCATAAATGGAAATGACAAAAATTTTAGGAAGGGAAATAAGTTACGGAGCTTGAGGGAGATACCATGTAATAACCCATTACTGAAATCGATCCATAAATAGTAATTCATATATAATTTGAAGAATTCCCCAATGTCATACCTTGTACTCAGTGACATGGCTGAGATAGTTTTTACAATGGTCTTCTGTCTAACTAGCTGGACACAAGAATCTTACTACTGGGAAAAATGTTGCTGTTTTCATGAAAGTTTTAACAAAATATGACACAATCCACAGAAATAACTGCCAACAGGATACGATCACAAATAATAGATGATTAAAGTTGCATAATGCCTACTGTTAGTAATTACCCATCACTCAATATATTTATGCCACAAAAATTTGTACAAGAAGACAATGACTTATAAGAAACAATCTATGTAGTCTAAATGTCATATGAAATCATCTTTATCTGAAGGTCTTCAATATCAATCTACATAACAGTAATATTTCTAAAGACCTTTAAATTTGCATCAAGTATGTGAAGTTTCTAACCTCACCTATTCTCATTTTTTTGTAGGATTGTCCCTTTAAAAAAGCCATATCATCTAAATCAGAATCTGCAAAACATGTTTCGAATACTGAATTCCCAATGGATCAGAACTGCTGCAAACGGTCAATTCAAATGGAATTATCCTGACTAATTATACAGCAAGCTCGATCACCTGCTTCCTTCAGTTGACCTGACATGTGTGCATAACTACAAACATCATCGAACATATCTGCCAGTTGTTGAACATATCTGTGCCCACCTCAAACCACTGTCTTCATAACACTCATTAAAATCCTCCTTTCAAATCAAGCTTCAGGCAGTTTCCATTACAAATACAAACCTTCTACAATTAAGGGAATTTCTGCCAACATTTTAATACTTGACATCAAACTCCATTTTAGTCAGTGAACTACCTCATTATAAAAACAAGCCTGACACTAAGACAGCCCTCAAAATATAGCCAAAGCGAACACCCAAAGACCCCAGAAGAACACCCAGAGACCGTGTCTCCAGGAAAAGAAACAAAGAAGCACCCTGAGTTTCAGAAGATACTAGAAAGTCATCTCTCTGCTCTCAGCATGCCTTTGTGTACATACATGCAGTTTCTAGTATCAGTTTTCAGTGTTCTCTGGAGGCCATGGTGCAAAGGGAAGTCCCTCACGATAACAAAAGGATGCACATCACATCCAATACCAGACTTGTGACATTTCATGAATCCAAGAGATTCAAATTCAACCCATGTGGTAACAGTTAACATGTACTACTTATATTGTAAAAAAAGACAACTGAGAACTTAGCTACACATTCAAACACATTTGATCGTGCTAACAACTGCTGTTCCAACTGTTATTACTATGTCACGCCAAATAACATCTTTGTTGTGTAAAAAACACTTCCAAGATCCTCATTTTTTTAACATACGCAGGTTTTATGCAATTTAAACAAAGCTGCTGGAGACTATGACATACAGTAGATTGTTTAAAATTTTTGAGCAATGGAGCAGTAAATGAAAATGGAAAATGAAGGTAATCACGTTAAGTATTTTCCACTCACAGGCAATCCCAACTGTCTTCTTCAGACTCTGACGAAGACATTCTCCCAGATTCCTTCACAAGCTCCTGACAGTAATAATATCACTTCCACCACAATAGCATAACACTTATCCGCAGCTCTTATATCAAAAATTAACTGCCCTGGGAGAAGCAAGGAATTACACCAGTATTGGCAATTGCTAGGTATTGATCCTCAAGCTATTTGATCAATACAAGCAGTTGCTTTTTCTGGTTCCTTTCTTTAATTGAATTACTCGAGCTGCACAATTATTACCTTTACCTTAAGGTAATCAATGTCTAAAATAATGAAGAATTCTTTATAAAACGTAACTCCAATCAACTGATTAAATAAACATATTAGGAGGAATGCCAAACACTTGGGAAGTGTATATCCAGTAACGGGGTACATTAACCTTTATGAAACCCCAATAAAATGTTGCGGTTCTGAACTTCCATTTTAATAACCTTCTTTAACTGCAAGTGTCAGGCAATATACCCAGTCAGACAATAAGTCACAAAAACTTTAACTGGGTCACTGCTTAATTTAACACAATAAAATTGCCATTCGCATAATTTGTCACATAAAACAGGTGGAAAGCATATCAAACCACCATTATAGATAAACATTTAATGATGGTCAACCATGCTGGACCAACTCAGTAGCAAAAAATATTTTTAGAAATGACATAAATGAAACAAATCTATTATGAAAAAAAATATGAAGAGCCAACTAGTTTCATATTGCTACTATATAGCATGGTGCACTATCGTATCTCCTAACTACTGTATTCCAAACAGCCCTATAATTATTCTTACAAAGGGAAAACATTTACAAGCAACACTACTTTGTCTGTATACAAACTGCTTCATCATACTCATTACTGTGTGCATAAACAGGTTTACCCTATTCATTCATAACAAAAACTATAGTCATACTGTCATAAGCCCAGGCTGTGTGAAGAATGGCCCACTGGAGCCACTTTCACATTATAATAATGCATTACCAGCTGAGGAATGAAAAATGACTTCTCAGTCAACAGGTACATTTTTGCTCTGCCTACTCAAGAGTTAATTAGATCTACCCCTAACCACATTTCAAATAAACCTACGCACATTGGGGTTTACGAAATCCCAATTCCGTTAGGTATAGATCTCTAATCAGCAAACCTGAAAATCCCTTACGCCAAGCATTCAAACATGCTATCAAGAACGTTTAAGATGCTATTCTGCAAACAGCATCCAATTTTACAGGAGAGCATTCTTACCAACATATTTGCATGACTTGACCAAAGACATCAGGCATTAAGTGTGGCACCAACAAAGAAACAATTTTATTTGTCTGTTTGGTTTTGCTGACATTTTCTGTTCAATAAAACAATCTGCAATAATTATTGTGAAAACAGAAACTATTCTTTTTTGAAGCAGAATAGGTTTCCAGAAGGCAAGAATAATCACTGCCTAGATTTAAATGCATTATGTTGAAACAATGGTAGATATTCTGCCAAAATGACAAATCCAAGAACAGTTATCAATTTTGGGCCCACATACAACTTGGTAAATCCTTGTAATTTTAATCAAATTCATATCCCTCTTAAGATTTTAGAAATAAAGATTTTCACAATCCAACTCCTTTGCATTCCCACTTTCTCATAAAGTTAATAATTTTGACTGAACTCACAAAAGACAACTGACCAAAGTGTATATGTAGCTAGTGCGTTAAAAGTCTTTGAACAAAAAAACTGTAGATTTCCTACATATCCAGAGAACCTCCAGTATTTCTACAAATTTAAAACCCCAGTATCCTTGGGGTTGAGTTCCAAAAAGATCTTTTTTCATCTCCCAGACTGCAGATTTTATCACAAAATTAAGATTAAATTTACACTCAAGTTGTCAAACTGAACAAGTACTCAAATGCATCATCTTTCTAATATATCTTTGATTTTAAAAAAATGAAATGTGGCATGGACACTTCAACATAGTAACACAGGGTGGATTGAGGCTGTCTTCTGGGTCTTCTGGAAGATATATTTTTTAGTTTACATTGACGGGAATCTAATTTTTTCTGTTGGAAGATGGTCAAAAATGGAGGATGGATCAACAAAGATAATTTGGAAGACTGTCAGAAAATATCTCTGGATCCACCCCTGTTACAGATAAGGAAATACACAGAGGCATCTTTCCCATATTTAGACACTGTGAGTTCCTCCAATAATAAGCTGAGACACAATCTACCTTAACAGAATAATTTTTCAAAAAAGAAATTCCTCCACACCCCAACCTGACACCAACACAAATCTTGCCTCTTCATCTTGTCTTGTTGCTGTTGTATGACCCAGGCCCTGATCAGTTCGTCCTGTATCTCCTCGTAAGCAGCCATGTTTCAAGTGAGAGTCGGAATGTTATGGCTAAAAACATTAGTACCACTTAATGACCATTAATCAAAAGCAACAGCAAATAAATTACAATAAGCTAGATCCCATTCCCATAGACCCTATCGGTCTATGCAGATCGATCCAACTCTGTGGGGACTCTCACTGAGTGCAATCAGCTTAACTGATGAAGATGCCTTCTCTTGTTTCCAACATATTCATATATATATATACTAGTAATCACCAGTTTTTCTGTATTCCATATTTTCATTTGGCAAGTTGGCAGCAGTAATAGTTAAATATTAATATCTAGCTGAATATTTGGTCTTCACTTTACTTTGAACTCCAATTTAAATGCTTACCAGTGCTGCTTGTTATTTTAAAAAAAAAAATGCAATGCAGTTTCATACATATATGGTCACCTGGCTACATGTGCATTTACATCAGAATTTACCCAAATTTTCAGAAATATTCAAAGTGCTTACTATTACTAGTAAATATAACATACAGCAATAAATTTGTTATGATTGCTTTCCTTTTACGGTATTTCAGGGCTAATTGCAATTTGAGTGACACACATGTGGTTGCATCTAAATGCTAGGCATTTACAGCAGATGGCCAGTGAAATAAGAATCAGTTAACAAGTTGCACTTTACCTGAACTTCAGTACTAGTACACATTATCTTGCACTTCTAAAATCTAATGGCTTTTTTGTCAGTTTATCAATACTGGTACAAGATAGCAATCTATGATGCTATAGAATGTGCAATCAATTCTACAGTGAAAAGTGTTCTTAATAAAAATGTATGTAAATCCAAATTAATTAATGAATGATTTAGTGAGTCATGCTGAATATGAATTAAATATGACTTGTTCTATACAACTGCCTCCCTTCCAAGTCTTAGCACAGACTCCCTTCATTAATTGTCCCTTTATTTACTCATGGCTGCAGATATATCAGTACAAATAGAGGCACTTGGTCAGGCGTGAGTTGCTTTAGCTGCGATATCATATCAGTGGAATTCTACTCAGTCTGTAACAGAGAAAAGCAGCCCCCACAATTAGATAAGTCACAGTTTACAGATAATATCTTCTAGACATTGCAATCATGCATTAGGAATGCAGATATTCCTTATCTTCTTAAGTGGTTCTATTACCATCTTTTCATCAATTTCTACAGACTACAGTACTTGGCTGAGGTCATTTTTAACAGTCTTGAGAGGGAACTTAAACTCAAGATACATTCCTTATGTAAGACTAATAACATTTTTTTTTGTTAAAATCCTTTTGATCATGGTATGTCTGCCCCCCCCCCCAAAAAAAAAAAAAATTCATACTAGTAAATTGATTCTATCTTATAATGCATCTTAACTAGATAGAAAAACTTGCAAAAGTTCACAGCACAATTATGACAAAAAAGGCACACATCTACAGAAAATATGAAATTAAGACAATCCAAACCACTTGAGTCCAAATTACTTATTTTCCTTTTCTGAACTTAAAAATGACACAAAATGTTCATACTGTAAAAAACTTAACTTTATATCTGGTCTACCAAGACTCAAAAACAAAACAAAAATATACTAAATCGGATCATTATCTTGATTAAACTGCAAAATGCATACCATGATTTAAAATGGTCAAATACAGTAAATCTATATATGAATTAGCTGGACAAATGGTGCCACAGGGTGCCAAAAATTCCATCACAGTGACCAGGCATTCTATGTTGTAGTGACTTTTATTTTGTCAAAGTAACAAGGTCAGATATTAATAAACTCATCTGTGGCATGTGCTTAATATGAGTGTGTGCCAAATATTCTACAAGCATGACATTTTTGTAAAGGACACCAATTATACAATATCTAAAAAAAACTTGATTTCTAAGGTTCTATTATCATTACCTCAACCTCGTGGAGTCACTGAACATTTTTGTCAATTTAAAACTGACATTTCTGTGTGAGTGCAGCATTTCCTTAACAAATGTGCATATTTTTTACATTAAAATGTGTCACAATTTATTCATCTCCTGGCATATTGGAAAAATATTCCCATGGTGTGAAAAAATGAAGTTTTATATTGCCTAGAACCCTTACTTAAAGGTACCCTTGAAGTTTTTGCAACAAATCTAATTTTCTTCAATTAAATTTTTTAAATAACAATAAAGTCCTACTCAGTTAGAATTAACCTGTCCCTGCTCTTGGATTTCCAGTTTTACTTATTTATCCTATTCAAGCCATGCTTGTTCAGAGTTTTATACTAACCTCTACAAATCCATTGGAAATATTGACATCAGATACTTTATTTGAGTTGGTTTATCATTTTTTTTAACTTTGAATGGGGAAAGCTTTGAGGGATTTGTAGATATAGAAAGTATGACCCAGAGACATTTTATAATATGTACAATATAGTTTTAAACTTAAATATACTTTTAAATATATACTTTTATTGTTTCTACTTCTCTATGGATCTTAATCAAGTGTTGGCCACACTTTGGTTTCATCTTTTATTCTTCAAATATAAAAGCATAGAGAGAGCACTTCATGTAGCTTTTTGATTCAATGATAAACAAGTCTGTCAGTGACAGCAGTGCACACAAACTTGGGCCCTCTCTCTCTCTCTCTCTCTCTATATATATATATATATATATATATATTTTTTTTTTTTTTTCTTTTTTTTTTTCTTATTTTTGAAAGCTCAAGCATTAGGATCGGCAAACATTGATTTACAGCCCAGCAGTCAGGTATTGGGCAGGAAATGGATTCTAAAAGGGGGATGAAGTTGTCCAATATAATTCACTTTAGCACCATTTTTTTTTTGGTACTTTTGGAACACTCCGCCCCATAACTTTCACATTTTTCACTTTACCATTAGTCCCCCCCCCTCCCCCCCCCCCCCCCCCCCCCC